ACAGCTGCGTCCGGAGCATCGTGTGCCCTCGGATATACTGAAATCGTTGGAGCAACTTGTGGCCTACACGGACAGCGACGATGATCCCGAGTTCCCGCTGCCGGCCCTCGACGATGTCTCCCATTTGGCGCTCATCTCGCACAGCATTGTGGCGTATCTGTCGCATCTGGACAGGCAGCAGCTGCTGCGTGTGACCAACAGCATATCGGGTGATGCCACACGCTGGCTGGGGACACTGTTCCACTTTAACAATCCGGCCAGCAGCTTTCATGCGGACAATGCCGATGCCATCCTGCGCACCGTCCGCCTGGCCATTGTCGCCCGCTGTCCGGGCTATCTGGAGGGCGGCATACCGGCCCTGGCCCAGCCCTGCTTCTACATCTCGGAGAATACGACACCGGTGAGGCTGCAGTATGCCTGCCGCCAGCTGGGCATACCCTTAGACGCAATCAAAATCATACCCGAGCACAGTCAATACGGCACCATGGACCTGACGCAGCTGCAAAAGCAAATCCAGTTGGATTTGTCGGCCAACAGGACACCGCTGCTGGTGGTGGCCGACATTGGGGCATCACTGTGCGGCTACGTGGACAATCTGCAGCGTCTGCGAGACGTGTGCAAGCCGCACAACATGTGGCTGCATGCCAGCGGCCATGGCCTGGCCGCACTCGTTTGCGCCCAAAGCCAGAGCCAGGGCCACGTCGACGATGTGCTCCATTCGATGGCCCTGAATTTGGGCAGCTGGCTGGGCGTGCCCAGTCTGCCGATTGTGCTGTTGCATCGTCCACTGCTGAACAGTGCGCTGAGTGCCTTTGAATCCGATCCGATCCTGTCGCGACGCCTCAACTCGTTGTCGCTGTGGACGAGCCTGCAGGCGCTGGGCCGCAAAGCAATAGCCGAGCGCCTTCATGTGGCATTTCAGACGTGCAGTATTCTCTTCGAAATTGCATCCAAGTGTGAGGGTATACGTGTGCTGGTAAGCAAACAAACGAACGAACGAGACAAGGAGAGAGAGAGAGAGAGAGATCTTAACTGTTTTCCATGTTGTCCCACAACAGAGTCACACACCTGGCGCACAGACGGGTGCCTCGCTGTCGGATATTATACAGAGCCCCTTCGATGTCAATACCTTATTCGATGCAGCTGCACCCGTGGTGGCCTATCAGTTCGATGGCAGCACAACCATTCCAATTAGCGGCAATCTGGAGGCAGCCGAACGTGAAACGGCGGCCACGGGTGGCCTCAAGCCCCTGGAGAAGATCAATAATGCTTCCTACTTTGATCGCCTCAACTCCTGGCTGGGCCAGACCTTGCAACGTGACTGCCCCAATGTGAGTAGCAATCGAGTGCTGTCCCTCCCGTTTCTATTTGCCCTTTCCCCCTTACCCTTTATCGCTTTAGTTTGACTTTGAAGTGATTGAACATCCCACACATGGCAGCTGCATTCGCTATTGCCCCCTCGAACTGGGCCTCGGGGAGCAGCCGCCCAGCTCGGAGAATTTGGAGAGCTTCGCCCAGAGCCTGGAGGCACATGTGGACATTTTGCGAGCGACCATCAAGCACAAGGCACGTTTCATTTACCTTGTGGAGCGCAGCGAGGTGTTGCGTCTCGTACCGCTGCCCGAATGGGCGGGCATGGGCGGTGTTCGCTTTGTGCCCGAAAGCTGGGAATCGCTGCTAACGGATCAGGCCAAAACGGAGCTAAACAAGCTAAACATTGACTTGGTTGAGGCTCTCAAGTCCACGGATAATGCCTTTTCGCTGGGCGAGGGCACCGATGGTCTGATTTGTGTGCGCTTTGGCATGGTTACGCACGAGACGGAGGTGGAGGAGCTGCTCGATTTGGTTGTCACTGTGGGCAAGAGTGTGCAGGAGAATTCGCGTGTATTGGACACCATGTCGGAGATTGTCAAGAAGGTAAAAAGATTCCTAAAAATATTTTAGTTCGAGATTCACTCATAACTTTTGTATTTTCTCAGGGCATTGAAGCTGTCACCGCTGATCTGCAACGTGAATCGGAGGAGAAACTCTGGCAGGAGGGCATCCTTCGGCATGTGCCCGTTGTGGGACGTGTCTTCAACTGGTGGTCACCGCCAGCCAAGGAGTCTGGCATCAAGGGACGCAGCCTCAATCTAACCCAGGGAGTTGTCGAGAGCACTGAAAATATTTACAAGTGAGTTAAAGGCAGAGTTAAAGCTTACACTTTACAGTCACTACAAATTGTTTGTGCCTCTTGCAGATACCACATGCAAATGACTGGCGCAACGGCTCATCAGCTGCCGGCGAATCGTTCGCCACCAACACCCATGGTGCAGACGCCAGTGGGCGCGACAGCCACGCAACAGCAGCAGCCCGTCTTTCCCACTGTGGAGCCAGTGTCTGGTGGTTCGGGTGAGGAGGGTTCACCCAATGGCCACGAAACGGTCACGATAGGCGCTGCACCGGCCACACAGAATCATGTGGATCATGCACGAACCGTCAGCCAGAGCAGTGCCAGCTCCTCGGTGGTGCCCGAATTGGTGCCGGCAAACAGTGCAATTACACAATAATAATAATTAAAAGCAAAAAGCAGAAAGCAGAAAGCATAAAGAAGAAAGGATAACTTAACCTAGGCTACAGGCACAGCCAAAGCCCCAAAGCCCGCACAGCCGCAGGCTTCATGAATTAACTTCTAGAGCGAAATTAGGCCGCAAAGCAAAAATATCAGAGGACAACGACAAAAATTGATGACAAGCAGCTTGGCACACAGCAGTAACGCAGAGCTAGCAGAAAGAATATTATTATTAATATTATAGAAGGCTGGCTGGCATCTCTTACCCCTCAAACAAAAATCCAACTCTTAAACTTCAAACAAGAAGATTCCAAAGATTTTTCTCTTAAAACAAATTTGAAAAGCAAAAAGTAAAAAGCAAAAAAATCCATTAAATTTGCTATCTGTATGATATATTTATATATATATTGCTCCTATTCCCATTGATCTTATACAATTCTATTTTATATAATTATTATGTGTACTTTATTCCGAGATCATTGTTGTTGTTGTTGTCAGAAAAATCGTGCGAATAATTCAACAGAACTAACACGTGGGTTGACACGTGTTCTTCTATTCCCTTTCCCTTTTTTGTTGAATATATATTTTATCTCTTTTATTTGTATTTATTATAACGATGCAAGTACCTTTGAGAAAGTTTTATATATATTTATGTATATGTATATGTATATGTATATGTATATGTATATGTATATGTATATGTATATGTGTGTATTTATGTGTATGTGCATATATATTTTAGGCAATTGTTCAATGTTCAATAATGTGTGGCACTAAATTGCTCTATTCTAATTTTGTAAGAAGCTGAATAAGCTTAAGAAATGAAAAGAAACCACAACAAAAAAATATACTTAAAAATAAAATATATATTTATTATACAAACAAAAGATGCTGCTATAAAGAAGAAGAAAACAAATTCTGCACAAAATATTTATATGATAAAAGCAACAAACTAAACAAAAACAAAAACAAAAACAAGCAACAAAAAATAACAAATAAATTGTGTAATAATTTAGACAGAAAATTGGTGGCCTTTTTCTTCATCGCTATCTTCGCTCTACGAGTATCTATACTGCACCACTTAATGTTTTTATACTAATTTATCATATCTAATCTTATCCCCCGGGCGGGTGTTTATCACAAAATCAAAGCTAAACAAATTTGTTTTCGGTTTTTCTGGTGGTATTTTCAATTACGATTAGACAATTATTTTATAGCCTCAGATAGCACGATTATGTGTGCAATTTTCGGCTGAATTTGGGGTACACTCTTCATAGATAAATTATTTGTGACTGCATAAATGAAAACCCGACACAGACAATTGACTCTTCGTACAGTTTGCTCATCCAGCAGCTACATTTATCCCTTAAGTGAAAATTAAATTAGTTTCATTTCCATTTCAAATCTTACCAAACATTTCCCTTGCCGCTTTTCCCATTCAACAAAAAAAAAAACAAAAACAACATTTCTCCATCTAATGCAATTAAATTTTATATTTGTATTTTATTTTTATTTAATATTTTTGTTTGGTTTGGTTTTAATTTTTTTAGCGCTTTACTTTGTTGCTGCTTTGCTTTTGAAAGAAATTTGTTGGGGGTGGCTTTGTCTTGATTTTTCCATTTCCTTAACTCTTTCTTGTGTTTTTTATTTTTTATTTGTTTGTTTATTTTTATTCCAGACATTTTTGACCCAGCCCCGCGCGCCCAAACCATTTCGGTGCCAATCCGATAACGTTTTTCTGGCTTTCTGGAGGCACACCCTTATTTATTAAATTTTTTTCGTATTTCTTTTTTATATTCCTTACACGAACTTTCAATTTTTTCTTATGACTTGTTAGATTTAATTTTTTTCGTTTTGTTTTGTTTAATATGCAACTAAGCGGTTCCATTTTTTTAGTTTTTTTTCTTAATTTTTTTGCCATTGTGTTCTTTACATTTTCTTTAACTAGTTTGTTTTGTTTTGCATATACATACCATATAGAGTATATATGTATAAGTATATATGAATGTGTGTATGTATATGTTGTACAACTCTCGATCTTATGTTGTGTTTGTCGAAAAAAAACGTCGCTAACTTCGTATTTTCTTTGTGTATTTTTTTGTATGCTTTCTTCTTCATCTTTTGTTTGTTTTTGTTTTTTTGTAATAACTACAACGCGTACGATGACAACATTTAACACAGAAATATATTTACGAACTAATTGTATAATATTTATTTATATTTATAGATGTATATATTTTAATTGTATTTTTGAATTGAGACTCCGTGCGAAGGGAGTTCTTTTCTTGCTTTGCTTTTGTGCTTCTCTTTTTTGGTACTGTCTCATTATGGGATTACCTTTTAAGGATTTCAATTGATTTCTTTTTGTTGTTATTATTGAGACTTCACCTCACCCCCACCCCTCCCGTTGGAGTACAAAATCTCCACCAAAGAGGATTTTTCTTTATCTTTTTTTTTTGTTTTGCTGTCTAACATATGTTTGTATTTTTTGTTTGTTTTATATTTCGTATAATAAGCGAATAAAAAAACTTGATTAGTTTGTCTTTACACGATCTATACATATTTACTTTTTAAAAACGCTCCTCCTTTCTGGTTAAATTTTGTTCATATATTTTTTACAATTTAATCAATTTCCATATTAAATGTTCAGTGGAGTTTGTTTTTTTATGTGAATATTATATGTATGTATATAATATAAGTACCTATATAGCTAACGGTTTGTGTAAATCTTGAGAACTTTCGCTGTTTTTTGGTTTTTTTTTCCTTTTGTGGGCAGTGTTTGGGTTCCTTTTTTTTGCCTTAGTTGATTGGCCTCGGTTGACGCTTCGTTGGCCTCTGGTCTGGTATTGGGAATTCCTCTAACAGGAACTCGTAACTCAACTCAATCCTTCCCCCCTCGTTTGCTGGTTGTTTGTCATACATATGTAACTAGCTATATTTCATATTTTATATTTAACTTCTTACCTTTTTTCTGTGGGAGGAAAGAGAGTTCTTGTTTGCTTCTTGGTTGGTTGGTTGGTTGGTTGGTTGGTTGGGGGAGGACAGTACTTTCAGTTTTATATTGCTATTCGGTTCCAATCTAAATCTCATTACTAACTGGTTATCGTTCTTGTTTCGCTATGCTAGACTCGTACTTGTGTTGCCCGCCTTTGGCTTCTCTTTTGTTTAGCTACCAAACGTCTATACTTTGCTTATATATTTACTCGTATTTATTTGTTGGTTTTTTGCGTGTGTGTGTGTTGTTTTGTATAGTTGTATATTTATATGTGCTAAGTTGTATGTATAATAAATGCATTCCATGTTAAGCTTAGGTTAGATACACAATAAAATCGCAGGGGGGGAATCAAATCTGTCTATCCATTCGATTCAACCCCCAGCCAGTCTCCAGGCGATCCATCCACAAGTCGTTTTTGATCAGCCGGACGACGCACAACCCAAGACGCAGGACAGAGTCGAACACCTACAACCACCATCAATCATTCAAACATAAGTTTGTTGGTGGATAGTGTGGGGGCAGCAAGGAATATCATTTAGTAGTTTTACTCGTTGTACAAAATCATTCAATAGAAATCAAAAACTGTCTTGACTAAGTGCTTCCAATGTTGGTTTGACTAGAGGTAAGAATATCACACATCACTCGCTACTACAAATAGTTCAGTGAATCAGTTTTAAATGCAAAATTCTGTTTAAAGTAGGTGCAAAACTTTAAGACTTTCGATCAGTACGAATCAATCCGCAGCTCGCTATTTTTTACAAGAAGATTGAGCGAGAGAGAGTGTTTCGTTCGTTTTTGGGCGAGCATTTTGGAACGAGTAAGCTGAGGAGATTATTAAATAATTAAAAAATTATTACAGCACATCAACAGATTTTAAGGATTTTTGCTATGCTTTAAGGAAATATAGGAATCTTGAAGGATTTGCCCCCACACACACACACACACACACACATACACAGATGCCCAGTGGATCAAATCAAACGCTCGACAAGTGCCATAAGTACCTGCGAGTATACAAAAAAAAAGGTTTTCGCTAACTTTCAACTACATTTTCGATTCCTAGAACTTATTAACTACAATCCGAATTCCCATTTATTTTTCTCGTGTCTTTATAGGTTACTATTTTGTATATTACAATACCTTATACTTGTCCCCATAATTGCTGTCTGTGTCTGTCTCTTGGCTTCTCTATATAAGTTTTCTTTTTCGGTTTTTTTTTGTGTGTGTGTTTTCTAGCGATTGGTAAAAATATGCTATTATCAAAAAGGAATAACCGTGTTGTCTTTATAGACAGACATATATGATTTCATAGATCGTGTTGATATATGTTACATATATGTACTATATATATATAGGTATATAGTATATAGTTAAGTATATAAGTCAAATATCCAAATATGCACGAGTTTTTGTCTGTTCTTTCCGTATGTCTGTTATGTCTGTCTGTCTGTCTATCTGCCTATCTGTGTGCGTCGTTTATAGTGTGTAATATTTATATTTATATCCTATGTAGATGTAGTTATAGTGTATAGTATATACAAAAGTCGAATTTGTGGGCTAATAGCTTGCAGTTTTGCATAGGATGCATAAAGAAGAGGATTCCCGGTTTGTAGGATTACGATTTACGATTTACGATAAATGCAACAAATTAAGAAACAGGAACAGTCGCCGCTCCATCATAACCCACCCCTATACCATCCCATCTCCATTTCCTCGCGCCATTTTTGTCTCTCTGTCTATAATACAAAAAAGTCTAGAAGTAATGTCCGCTGGAAGACGCCTCAAAATTCAATGGCCCAAGCCCAAGCCTATTGCCATTCCCAATTCTTTGCTTCTCCTTGTCTCCTTTGCGTTCTGCTTACAGCTCGGTGACCGCATAGTTGCTCTCATCGGTTATCGCTGGCGGCGGTGGCGGCAGATCATCATCATCATCCACTGTGTTGTTGCCCACGCCAGCCGCTGTGGTCACGCTTCCGCCGCCATTGTGCAGGACGGCCACCAGACCGCCATTGCCTGCCTTCCCGTTGGCCGCCTGACCCATGCGTGCCTTGGGCGGAGTCGCCTCCACATGGTGTGCTGTTTGTGCCTCAAGCGGTGGCGGTGGCAACGAGGTGTCCTCGCTGCTGTTGTTATTGTTGGGGCCACCATTTTGCAGACCCACAATGCCTCCAGCGACTCCACCGCTCTCGCTCAGCATTTGTGTGGGCTGTGCCAAGGGCGGTGGTGGTGATGTGGGCGTGCCAATGCGAGGCGGTGGTATGGCTTTCATCTGCGGCGGCAACTTCATCGGCGGTCGTTGCAGCGTTCTGCAGATTTAAAGGATAATAGTGAAGCGTTAGAGACGCAGATTGCAGGCGATACCTACTTGGAATAGTTCTGATGATGCGCCTGCTGCTTCTGCTGATAGATGGACTCCACCTTGGGCTGCTCCGCATCCTTGGGTATCTCCGGCAAGGGACAATTCAATATCGATGGCTTGTACTTGGGATCAAACTTGCCGCCCTGTCTCAGCGTGGAGCATTTGTAGATTTGCTTATCCCGATCGTAGATGGCCGTGTCCATTGCAGTGCTAATGGGCACCACATCAGATTCGGGTTGCTGCTGATGATGCTGCGAATGCTGCTGCTGGTGCTGCTGCGAATGCTGCTGAGGATGTGGCTGGTGCTGCTGTGGCGACTTGAGCTGATGCAGCTGCTGCTGCTGCTGCGATGGTGGCGGGGGCTGGGCATGCTGCTGCTGCTGCTGCTGTTGGTGGGGATTGGGTGGCGGCACTACACTCGGATGATGATGGGCTGGTATCTGTGGTCCAGCCTGGCTGTTCTGTCGACGCATTGTGGCCAAATTTGATACATAAATGGAACCCTGGCTGACGGCCACCAGCGGCTGATAGATCGAGTGCGGATTCCCATTGGCGGCCAACTGTGGTGCCAGATGTGCCGGTATCTGCTGATAGATCTGACTCTGGCCCGGCGGCAGATGATGCGGTGCATGATGGGCCTGTGCCGCTGCTGCTGCCGCTGTCGTATAGGTGCCATACTGCTGGGCCTGTGCCTGTGCCTGAGCCTGCTGCTGATGGTAAATGGCATGCTGATGCTGTACCGCAGCGGCCACGGCGGCAGCCGAATGTGAATGCGGATGCTGATGCTGGTGCGGATGCGGGTGTGGATGCTGATGTGGATGATGGCAGTAAATGGGTTGGGGTCCTCCCATTTGTTGCTGTTGCTGTGCCTGCTGCTGCTGCTGATGCTGTTGCTGGTGCTGTGCCTGCTGCTGGGCATGCGCCTGTGCGGCCTGTACCTGGGCCTGTGTCGTTGGCGGCATATTGGCGGCGAGTGCGGAGGCGGCGGCGGCTGCTGCTGCGGCTGCTGCTGCTGCGGGGGGTGGCGACGGTTTTCAGTAAAAGTCATTGGCTTCCAAAGTTTTGCATTGTTTGCTTAGGGTTGCATATTTACCATTATTGGGACCTACAAAAAGTCACACACAACACACATTTTTCAATTAGCAAGGCGGATGGAGGATACGGATGTGGATGCAGGATGCAGGATGTGGTTAGTCGACGAATTTCAATGCAACGATTGGACGATAGATGGGCGCAAGAGCATTGCATGTAACGAAAGATCATACAAAGAAAAATAATGAGAACCGAATTGAGCTATGGATAAGAGGATTGAACGCCCCTTTGGCAGTGCGGGAATAATTCTGATCACTTCTGCCACGGACTGCAGCTACCTGTCAGCTATGGGAACTACAAATGTTCATTCGATTTTAGTGTCAAATCTGTGAGAAGCTGTTTCAAGTCGATAAATCCGACTTCTTTTGAAAAACCATTTACATGCATGTGCATGATAAATGATAGAAACTGGAAAATCACTTCTGCCACGGATTGCAGCTACGTGTCATCTATTGGAACTACAAATATTCATGGAATTTCAGTGTCCAATCTGTGAGAAGCTGAAAAACTTCTTCTGAAAACCCATTTGAATGCATGTGCATGATACATGGTGGACTCTGGAAAATCGGAAAGAAACATTTACTAAACACTAAATTGAAACAATAACAGGCCAATTATGGCCACCGTTTCAAAGCTCAATTCGATTCGAGGGCCTCATTGAGGCTCTATAAAATAAGATACAGCAGATAGACAGATAGATAGAGAGAGAGAGAGAGAGAGACATGGTTTGTGGGGGTTGTGGGTGTGTGTAGATTGTTTATGGATGGGGTGGAGGGAGGACACTGATGCCACGTGATTGCCACTTACCAGTCATGTGGGTGGGGCTGTGATTGTGCGATGGAAGTCTGCCCAGCGTATGGGTACCCATGGCTCGCATATTCTGCTGGATGTGTGCATGGGCCATCATCTCGTGCTGCTGCCGCTTGCTGGGATGTTGCAGTGTGTGCGAGCCGCTGATAACCGGCGGACTAAAGTGCCTGCAATGACAGTGCCGGATGCACAAAGATCCAAGGAGACACACAAAGAGAGAGAGAGAGAAAGAGAAAGAGAGTGGGAGAGAGAGAAGAGAGAATGGAGGCGGGAAACGGGTGGGTTCAAGCTACGGCAGGACACGATTGGGGTGCAGAACACCCAAAACTAATTTTGGGGCGCATCACCAACCCAGTGCATCGGCCAAAACATACCCATTATGATTGCGCGGCAATGTCCGTGCAGCATTCATCATCTGCTGATGATTCTGCGGTGCCGGATGCGATATATACGACGGCTCATCCACCTGGGCATAGTCATTCCGCTTGCGTATGTAGATCCATGTATGCGAGTCCACCCACACCATAATCGTAAGGAGTATGGCCGCAATGAAGCTGGCGATCAGCATTAGCACCAGTCCCAGCAATCCTCCCTCGCAGAGTCCACGGGCGGCTGCCAAAAAGTTATGATGCACCGCCTTGCAGTCAACGAGAGCTGTTAGCTGGGTGAGCAGCCGTTCGCTGCTATTCAGATCAGCATTCACAGCGCCCAGCTTTGGCTGCAGGCCGGACGACTTGAACAGCACCAGGGAGATCTTCATCACGGTGGCCATGGCACTGCGGGCATTGTTCAGCGAATTCTGTGACTCTCTCAGACGTTGGGTGAACGGATTCGTGTGCCCCGGCTCGCATTGGGTGTAGTGCAGCAGAACGTTTGTGGGCAGGTCACGGGGGGCTGTGGAGACGAGGAAGTCCGCTGGGCTGATGCACAGATCGCCCACAGCCACCGAGGAGGACAAATACAGGCCGGACATCAGCCAGGAGCCAGTCACGGCCAGTAGACCGCAAACGCTAAATAATATTAGGGCGCAGCGGGAATGCCTGGCCACGCCCACCAGCAGCACAGCACATAGGACAAGGAGAAGCGCCAGTGTGGCCACTGTGCCCGGCCAGCGTATCAATTCCCATTGGTCACCGCGCTGCAAAGACAGGAGGCAAAAAACAAAAGCGGGGAAAGCGGAGTAAATATTTAGAGGTGATTTTTCTCTACAGAGGGCCTGGGACTTACCGTCAGAAAGTGCGTCATGGAGATACCCATGAGGGGTCGTCGTATATCGCTAGCTGCATTCGTGGCTAGGGTCACATTGCCCTGGACAATGTTCAGCGAAACAAAGAGCTTGGATAGGGCCGTTTGATTGGATACCGGTTGATCGAAGATATCCGCCAGCTCCACCAGCTGCGGCCTGATGCGATTCGTTAGCGTGTTCTCCAGTATGTGCGTCTGATTCCTGATGGTTGTCACCAGATTGTCCACCTTCCGTCCGGCTGTGAGCACCTCGAGCAAACCATTGTGCAGATCATCGTTGCCGTATAGGCCCAGGCCGATGGCGGCGCAGCACATCACAGTCACAATCGAGAGGGCCACCTTTAGGCTGGTTATCGAGTGGGCCGGTCGGGGTTTACGGTCGCAGCATCTTGTCATCAGATAGAAGAGCAGCCCCAGCAGCGAAACGATGAGCAGCGCCGCTGGCACCGATCCCAAGATGCCCAAACTCTGTGCAAGCGAAAAATCCAAGGAAATATTGAAATTCGAATTGGAATTAATATTGGTTTTTTTGTGCCCCAGTTGATTTTCTCTGTTTGCTCACCTCTAGGTAGATCTCATCGTTGGGCCGGAACGTGCTGTTGATCTTGTGGAATGTGATGTTGTAGTGGGGCAGGGCATGGAGCAGTTTGGCTATCACCGGGACCTTATATTGATCCGTAAACTCGTGATAGTCGCCCATCCTGCACGACTCTTCTCACTCTCTACTGGTTGGGCAGCCCCTCTATAACGGTTTTGCTCTCGCACTCCTTTGATTTCTCTCTCCTTCTGAGCGTGTATTTGGGTGCGGGGAGTCTGAGTGTGTGCGTGTGTGTGGGATGAGTGAGTTTCCTTACTCTTGTGTCAGCTTTTCACCCCCCCCTTGCTTTTGTTGTTGGTGGGTTTGGACGTCACTTCTGACACGCTCTACGTGCTCACGGGGCTGCAGCGTTTCCTAACCTCTTGACACCAAATCCAAATTGTTGTGCACTGTGTGTGTCGTCGTCGTCGTCGGGGTGGGGTAAATTGGGAGTAGAGCAAAGCAGAGCGTTGGAAAATGTGTGTGTAAGTACGAGAAGATTTAATATGCAAAAAAGAAAACGGAGAACAAATGTGGAGAACGGGGCATCTTCCAGCTCCAGCTGCTTGTGTTTGTGTTACCGTAAATCTTGCGGTTCTATCCAGAGTTGTACTTTTTGCAACTACATATGCATGTATGAACATATCTATGTATGAACTTCTGTATCCCGTTAGCGTTTACTGGTAATGCCTCACCTTTAATAAGTAAAACTTGCCTTCACCGATCTACAAATTTACACTTTTCTCTATCTCTCTCTCTCGCTTTCTGTCTGTCACACACGCACACACATCAGCGGGCACCTCAATGAACCAAACGGTTCCTGCATATACACACACACATGCTCACATACAGTATGCGTGGGCGTACGCATGCCCATGTGTGGGCATGGCCTTAATTGCTCAATAAGTAGGTTGCCCGTTGCCTCTTGTACGCCCTCTTTGATGCACTTTAATTAAACATTATTTTGTTGCATGTTGCATTCTTGCTTTACCGCGTTTTACAGACTTCATCATTTGCACACCCTAGAAAAAACGTTTGTGGTTGGCGTCTCCGCCTTTATTCCTTCCTTCTTATTGATGATGCTGCTGCGGCCTGGGCAGCGCAATAGCAATTTTGTTCACTTGTCTTCCTCTTCCTGGCAGCCTGCCGCAGCAGCCATCCCCCAACCCATGTTTCTCATCCTGAAGCCAGCAACAAGAACAACAGTAACGGTAACAGGAGTGCTCGCTCTCTGGCCTGACAACTCTCTCACTGTCGCTCTCTGGTCTTTGCTCCCTATGCGCGCACTCTTGGTTTGCTGTTTTAAAAGTATAACTGTTGTTGTTGCTGCTCCCATTATTGTTGCCTTTGTTTGTGCTATTCGCTCTCTGGATTCGCTCTTTTTCTCTTTCGCTTGCTCCCTCGCCCTATGTTTGCGACTTCGTGAGTATATGGGTGCATGTGCGTGTGTGCGTTTATATATCTATTGATTAAAAGTTCACTCTGCTTCCTTATTCCTCCTTTGGCAAAGTCGTCTAGTTTCATGCCGAACCGAACACACCAACCACGCACTCGTAATTGCTGCGCCCACTTCTCCCTCATCCTTTACTCCTCATCTCTTCTCCTATTCTCTTCTCGCTCACTGACTGCTGCATCGCCTGGAAATGCAACATTTGTGTAGTTTACTCTTAGGGGTTTCCATGGATATTACAACAAATGCAATGCAACAACGAACATACATATTTACATAGACAATATTTACTTATGTAGTTGCAATAGTAACAGCAACAACGTCACGCACAAGAACATACATAGACAACACTTACGAAAACATGCACCCGCCCTCGTCTCGTACTGCTGCAATTTATGTGCGTTCAAAATCACTTCAAAACCAGAACAGTGAAGGCATAAATTAAAGTTCCACCTTATTGGGCGTCAAGTGTTTTAATGACATTTTTGAATTCCACTTAATCAAGCAAAAAAAAGTCTCAGTTATTGGCAGGGACCACCCAAATGGGTACACAATTTTTCACAACAAACAAAGCTTCATATTCCCCCATATTTCCACACAGTTCTCCGGGGGCTTATCAAGAACGAGCGTACCGACGAGTCCGAGTACACCGCATCCCGCTGATTCGAAATGATTATTACTTTTTATTTCACTTTTAAGCGATAAACCCTTGGCCTTGACATTTCCATATTGTTAAGCACGCTTGATTTGTCTTATTGTTTAACTAAAAACGTTTCTGTGGCTCTTTTTTGTGTTGTTTTCGGTTGAGTTTTAATGAAAGGAAACACGAGCAGGACCTTCACATTCCGAAGACTGGGCAAAGTATGAAAATTTTGTGTCGTTCAATTTGGTCGGTCACACCCTCTAGATTATGCATACGATGTTGATATGCCGTTGAGGCACGTTCACTAGTTCACAGGATAAAAACAGGAGACTCGACTCGACTCACGACCCGACTCTACCGATTCGACAGACACCCAAAACAGGAGAAGCTCTCAGTGCGGTGCGTGCGCAAGTTTCCACCCTCCCCGTGGTGTTGCCAGGGCTGCCAGGCCGATTCTGATTTCTAGTTCAGTTTACACAGTTCAATTCATTTTATTCAGTTTACTGAATAAATACTCTTTGATCACTGTTTGTCATTGGCTGCTGTTTACCCTCTCCCGTACATTTGAATGCGTATTTTTCGATTAAGTGCACCAACGGATTGGTTTGTCAGCCCTGGCACATTCGAATTTCTAGTGGTGGACTATATTAATAAACTATTGAATAAAACAACATGTTTCAAGAAGTGTTTTTTAAACAATAAATTAAAGTTTTACCTTTAATTATATGTATAGAATTGATGAATTGAATTTATTTACTCCTATATCGTCCACAATATATATCGATGGCAGACTGGCATCACTGACAGTGCTGGTGAGAGTCTCAAGTTCCAATCAATGCAAAAACAAGTCAAGTGTTGGAGATCTATTTCAACGAAAATTTGTGAGTTTCATTCTTACTCACGTAACGTTTTATGCTAAGGTTTTTGGTTGACATTTTTAGTTGTACCTTATTTTGCACAAAATGCAATATAAGGAAGTCGTGAAAACTAGCCAGACTAGGGGAAATTGATTGATGAATTGGATAAAATAACAGTTTTAAAGCTGAGGGTCCTGGCCAGCTCGTATCATTGAATGGAATAGCAAAATCGAAGAAAATTATTTAAGATTTACGGTATATTCTTCAAATGAGAAGGTATATTTCGGTATATTTTTGAGGGTCGAGCGGTATATTTTATCGATAAGTCCGCGGTCACTCTGGTGACCAGGCCTCAAATTGGATGACTATTTTTGATTGAACCTTGTTATTTATGGAAAATCTAAAGAAAATGAGAACTTAAAGTGGGTGAATCTTGTAGAAAATTGATCAATCTATCGGATAAAATTAAATGATCAGTGCTGCGGATGCTAGCTAGCTAGTAATCCCAAGCCGAATTGAAAAAGTCGTGAAAATATCAAAACGCAATCACATCATCATCATCACCCAACCAACACACATTCCCCTCAGTGGGGAAATAGGAATAACAAGAACAGGGGCCCTGGCCAGCAGCAGCTTGTCGTGTCGTCGTCGTCGCCCGGAGTGTAGTCGTTTTATAAATCAATTTTTATGTGGATTTTATCAAAATGAGTGTCCTACCGTTTGTACGCGGTGTTGACTTTACCAAAAATGATTTCAGTGTGAGTATTCCTCCCCTGTCTAATGCCGCGCCCCTGAGGGGCCTGCCTGCCTGCCTGCCTGCCAAAAACAGGTCACAAAAAAAAAAGAGATGAGAGAGAAAAAAAAGATCTATGACGGGCAGCAGCTGGTGCTGGCGATGATTGATACCTCTGACTGATGGATTGATGGTTTCTGATTCTATTTTTTTGTTTTGCGACTTGCAGCGAACATTCCCCAGCTCCATGCGGCAAATGTCGCGGGTGCAATGGCTTACACTGGACCACACACAGCTGCAGGAGGTGCCCGAGGAGTTGGGCCAGCTGCAGAAGCTGGAGCATCTCTCCCTCAATCACAATCAGCTGGAGAAGATCTTCGGCGAGCTGACAGAGCTGACCTGCCTGCGTTCATTGGATTTGCGGCACAATCAGCTGCGCAACAGCGGCATACCGCCAGAGCTGTTCCACCTGGAGGAGCTAACCACGCTGGATTTGTCGCACAACAAGCTAAAGGAGGTGCCCGATGGCCTGGACAGGGCCAAGAATTTGATTGTGCTGAATCTCAGCCACAATCAAATCGAGTGCATACCCACCCCGCTGTTCATACACTTGACGGATTTACTCTTTCTCGATCTGTCGCACAATCGCCTCGAGACCTTGCCACCCCAGACGCGACGTCTGACCAACCTGAAGACCCTCGACTTGTCGCACAATCCGCTGGAGCTGTTCCAGCTCCGCCAGCTGCCCTCCCTCCAAAGCCTCGAGGTGCTAAAGATGAGCGGCACACAGCGGACGCTGCTCAACTTCCCCACCAGCCTGGACAGTCTGGCCAATCTCTGTGAGCTCGATCTGTCGCACAATGCGCTGCCCAAGCTGCCCGATTGTGTCTACAATGTGCCGACGCTGGTGCGGCTCAATCTGAGCGACAATGAGATCAACGAGCTCAGCGCCAGCATGGAGTCCTGGCAGCGCCTCGAGTCGCTCAATCTTTGCCGAAATCAGCTGACCGCCCTGCCCGCCGCCCTCTGCAAGCTGTCCAAGCTGCGGCGTTTGTTTGTCAATGACAACAAGTTGAATTTCGAGGGCATACCCTCGGGCATCGGCAAGCTGGGCGCCCTCGAGGTCTTCTCGGCGGCCAACAATCTGCTGGAAATGGTGCCCGAGGGCGTCTGCCGTTGCGGGGCCCTCAAGCAGCTGAATCTCAGCTGCAATCGTCTCATCACACTGCCCGATGCCATCCATTTGCTGGAGGGACTCGACCAGCTGGATTTGCGCAACAATCCCGATCTGGTGATGCCACCCAAGCCGAGTGAGGCCAGCAAGGCGACCAGCCTGGAGTTCTACAACATCGATTTCAGTCTGCAGACGCAGCTGCGGTTGGCCGGAGCCGCTGTGCCGCCCTCAATGCCCGCTGCAGCGACGCCCAAGGATTCGACGGCGCGCAAGATACGCCTGCGACGTGGACCGCGCTGTGATGGCGATCAGGATGCGGCCAAGGTGCTCAAGGGCATGAAGGACATTGCCAAGGACAAGGACAACGAGGCCGAGGGTCTGCTACCAGATGATGGCAGCGGCAAACCCGAGTCACTGAAGCCCAAGCGCTGGGACGAATCACTCGAGAAGCCCCAGCTGGACTACTCCAAGTTCTTTGAGAAGGAGGATGGCCAACAGCCGGGCCTCACCATCTGGGAGATTGAGAACTTTCTGCCCAACAAAATCGAGGAAGTGGTCCACGGCAAGTTCTACGAGGGCGACTGTTACATTGTGCTCAAGACACGCTTCGATGACCTGGGCAACCTGACGTGGGAGATTTTCTTTTGGATCGGCAACGAGGCGACGCTGGACAAGCGCGCCTGTGCGGCCATTCATGCTGTGAATTTGCGCAACTATTTGGGCGCACGCTGCCGCACGATACGCGAGGAGCAGGGCGACGAATCGGACGAGTTTCTGGCCCTCTTCGACACGGAAGTCATCTACATCGAGGGCGGACGCACGGCCACGGGCTTCTACAACATCGAAGAGATGATACACATCACGCGGCTGTATCTGGTGCATGCCTACGGGGCGACAGTGCACTTAGAGCCGGTGGCCGTGGCGCTTGAGTCGCTGGATCCGCGGCACGCATTCGTCCTGGATCTGGGCACACGCATACACATTTGGCTGGGCAAACGCTCCAAGAACACGCTCAACTCGAAGGCACGCCTCATGGCCGAGAAGATCAACAAGACGGAGCGGAAGAACAAGTGCGAGATCAATGTGGAGCGTCAGGGCGAGGAGACGGATGAGTTTTGGCAGGGGCTGGATGTCACCGCGGAGGAGGCAGCCGCACAGCCGCCACAGGAGCATGTCCCGGATGACTATCAGCCGGTGCAGCCGCGCCTCTATCAGGTGCAGCTGGGCATGGGCTATCTCGAGCTGCCGCAGGTGGAGTTGCCCGAACAGAAGCTCTGCCACACGCTGCTCAACAGCAAGCACGTCTACATCCTGGACTGCTACACGGATCTGTTTGTGTGGTTCGGCAAGAAGTCGACGCGACTGGTGCGTGCGGCGGCCGTCAAGCTCAGTCGGGAGCTCTTCAACATGATGGATCGGCCGGAGTGTGCGCTCGTCATGCGCGTGCCCGAGGGCAATGAAATGCAAATCTTTCGCACCAAGTTCCTGGGCTGGGATGAGGTCATGGCTGTGGACTTTACGCGCACAGCCAAGTCCGTGGCCAAGACGGGCGCCAACCTAACGCAGTGGGCGCGGCAGCAGGAGACGCGAACGGATCTGGCGGCACTCTTTATGCCACGACAATCGGCCATGCCGCTGGCCGAGGCCGAGCAGCTCGAGGAGGAATGGAACTACGATCTGGAAATGATGGAGGCCTTTGTGCTCGAGAACAAGAAGTTTGTCCGCTTGCCAGAGGAGGAGCTGGGACACTTTTACACGGGCGAGTGCTATGTCTTTTTGTGTCGCTATTGCATACCCGTTGAGGAGCCCGAGGCAGCGGGAGAAGATGTGGAGCCAGCAGCAGCAGCGAGTGCGCCAGATGACAGCAACCCAAAGTCACCGCAGCAATCGCAGCTGATGCAATCCCAGCCAGAGGATGAGATACAATGCGTGGTGTACTTTTGGCAGGGACGCAATGCCGGCAACATGGGCTGGCTGACGTTTACGTTTACGCTGCAAAAGAAATTCAAGGCCATGTTCGGGGAGGAGCTGGAGGTGATGCGCATCTTTCAGCAGCAGGAGAACCTCAAGTTTATGTCGCACTTCAAGCGCAAGTTTATCATACACACGGGCAAGCGCAAGGATAAAGCACTGACAGCCGATGGCAAGGCGCCCGTGGAGTTCTTCCATTTGCGCTCGAATGGCGGTGCGCTGACCACGCGACTCATACAAATCAATCCGGATGCAGTGCATCTAAATTCGGCCTTCTGGTAGGTTCAATTCACGCACAAATACGCTTTTAGTTAACTTCCATGGTCTGTCCCTGCAGCTACATACTCCATGTGCCATTCGAAACGGAGGACGAGTCACAGTCGGGCATTGTTTATGTGTGGCTGGGCAGCAAGGCATGCAACGAGGAGGCCAAACTGGTGCAGGACATAGCCGAGCAAATGTTCAACAGTCCCTGGGTGAGCCTGCAGGTAAGTCCACAGAAGTTCATTCAACGACAAGCGAACACAACTCCGTGTCCCCCCCTGCAGATTCTCAACGAAGGCGACGAGCCGGAGAACTTCTTTTGGGTGGCACTCGGCGGTCGCAAGCCCTACGACACGGATGCCGAATACATGAACTACACGCGTCTGTTTCGCTGCTCGAACGAGCGCGGCTATTACACGGTGGCCGAGAAGTGCGCCGATTTCTGTCAGGATGATCTGGCCGACGATGATATCATGATACTCGACAATGGGGAGCATGTCTTCCTGTGGATGGGGCCGCGCTGCAGCGAGGTGGAGGTGAAGTTGGCCTACAAATCGGCACAGGTGTACATACAGCATATGCGGATAAAGCAGCCCGAACGGCCGCGTAAACTCTTTCTTACGATGAAGAACAAGGAGTCGCGACGATTTAGTAAATGTTTTCATGGCTGGAGTGCCTTCAAGGTGTACATTTAGGCCTAGGCCGGGGGGTGTGTTGTAGTGGCTGCTTGACAGCTGCCGTGACAGTGCAGCAAGAAGAGCAGCCATGAACAGGACAGAGACAGCCAGCCAGCCGCACAAACACACAGAGAGAGATACAGAGAGAGAAGGAGAAGGAGAGAAGAAGCTGCAAAAAAAGGAAAATGAAATGGATTGGGAAAAAGTTTGTACTTTTATAATGTATTTAATTGTTTTTATATAATTAATGTAATTTTTTATTAGAGCACTTTTCTCTCGCACCCCGCCCCCGCCCCTAACTAATTAGCTAACTCCCCAACGCCAAGTATTCGCATGCGCCTCGTACACATACATATATACATACAATATATGTAAAAACCACCCTTATATACACCCACACATGCACACATGTGTACGCAATATTTATATATATATATATATATATATATATATATATATATATATATATGCCGAGCTGAGGAGAGGATCACTCCTTTGTGCTAGTCCTTTTAAAATGTTAACCTAAAGCTAGCTGTAATAAAATCAAATCAAAACGAAACGAAAAACTAGAAACGGTCTAACTTATTGTACAAATCTATCGTATTTATTAATCCTTCAAATAAAACAAAATTGGAACAAAGCCAGAGATGTTTTTTTCTTGCATTTTTAAATTTCATTCAAATTGCGCATTTACAATGTGCTCGCTGACTGAAGCTGCATGCTATTTGAGCAACAATTTGTTTCGATATACTACCCTTCCGGATACTACAGTACGATAGCTGGTCTCATCGATATTGTAGTGCGATAGCAGCGCTTCTCGGGCAATCAGTGTAACATATATTACATGGTGAAATAAAAAAGAGCTCACCTTCTTCCTTGCCAACTAGTATTAATTATATTCAGTATATAAGCAGTACCCTTGTGATCCTTCCAATTGTACTTCGTTTTCCCAATTGTGAAATTGTTTTGATTATTCCCGCGTAGTATTCCAATCAACCATAATAATGTTTCGATAACTGCACATCGCGACGGGTTTTGTTGCATATGGTGCGTGTGTGTGTGTGCGAATAACGCTCGCGTATGGATGTGTGTGTGTTGGCGTCTGTGTCTAGTCCGCGTTAATTTTCTTTTTGCTGTGCTATTTGTTGAATGAAAAGCAATTTAGGTGGAAACAAACATAATAACCAAACCGCGAAACAGTTCAAAACTATTGCACGGGTAAGCATCGTCAAATATTTAAACAAGCTGTGAAAGTTTAGTAACTGTAAATGTTGCAATTCTATGGTCAGGGGAGAACAGGGAAAGGACGGCTCAAATAACGCAAGGAAACGCGCACACAGATTATGGAGTTGTTTGACATGGTCAAAGCGGCACCGCCGCCACTACGAGTTCGTGAGAGTCCAAAGAACTCGAGAGGTGCCTCCCAATTGCCGGACACACCATCTCCGACGCCATCGACAAAGGCTGCCACAACATCCACAGAAGCCGCCGCCAGCGCCTCTTCATCGCCTCATTTGGGTAAGCATTTTGGACCGTTGTGTGTGTACCGGACCACCACAAAGATTTTGTGGCATGTACGCGCACACATGCACCGTTACCCTTGAACGTGCACACATTTCGATGTACGAATACACCAATACATGCATAGTATGCTCTTTTTTTTATGTAGAAATCATTAAGGATGATCCCGTGGAGCCATGCAAACGCTTGAAGGTTCGCCTCAAGCGCACAGTTTCCCGAGAACTCGTCGAAGGCAAAGAGCCGAATGGCAAGGACAATGATGATGATGATAATGATGTTGCTGTGGACGATTCCTTGCTGCATTCATTTCCGCCCAAAACCAAGGCACAGCAAAAGTCGTTTGCAGATCTACCCCGCATAGCGTCCAGCGGCCAGCAGCTGATCAAGCCGGTGTGCGTGCGGGTCAAACGTTTGACCACAGCTGAAATTGAGAAATTCACCACACCCAAGGGCAAGTCCCCAGCCACACCAATGTCCGGGCCACGCAAACGCGGTCGCCCCAAGAAGCTGCCGAATACCAGTGACAGCACAGATTCGTCTCCATCGCCGCCAAAGATGCCCAAGGTGCACATCAAGGTGCCATTGGTGCCGAGCGACACCAAAAGTCGTGCACATCATCACTCGCCGACGAAGACCAAGGGGCGGCTGGGCAAAAGTAAAAAAGCGACGACAACGACACAACGTAGCCAGGAGTTAATCAATCGTTATGGCTCGCGTTTCTTTAACTGCTATGTGAAGATAAAGCGTACACAGATGTCGCGGAAGCAGATGCAGTCGCAGCCCAAGGCAAGCGGCAGCGGTGGGCCAGCTGTGAGCAGGGATAAGAAGACGCTGAAGAACCCGAACAAGCGGCGACCTCGCAAGTCCAATCCGACGGTGTCCTTCAGCGAGTCTGTGGAGATTTTCGGCAGCTCGCGTCGCTCTGCGCTGGGCATGAGACTGATGCGAAGAGGTACACTGAAACCCACGCGCCTCCAGCGTGTGGATGCAACTGGCAATGTGCTGGAGGATATTGCCCTGGGCACACCAACGGGCAGGGATAAGCGCCGCTTGTGCAACGGTATCGCTTCGCCAAGTCGCAAGCTCAAACGTTCAGCATCGAGTGTTCCGGTCATGGGATTGGCCAGCCTGCGTCTCGACGATGATCAAAAGCCCGAGAACGAGAACGAGGACGAGAGTGAGGAGTATATCGGTAAGCGGAGCATTCAGCATGGTTCCCACGATTGTTTATCACATTTTTATACCCGGTACTCGAAGAGTAAATAGGCTATATTGTATTTGTGGGGAATAATGGTTGTATGTAACGCACAGAAGGAAACGTTTCCGATCCCATAAAGTATATTTATTTTTGATCAGCTTCAATAGCCGAGTCGATAGAGCCATGTCTGTCTGTCCGTCTGTCCGTCCGTCCGTGCAGATTTAGTACTGAGTGCCGGGTATAAAAGTTGTGACGCGTAAGAAGCGTCTCATACGTCCCTTCTCGTTTGTGTTTGTTTCAGTGCCCAACGAACTGCCGCGCACCAAGCGAGATGTCACACCGGTGCCCAAGAAGCGCAAGAAGATGTCCGTGACGACGACCATCAGCGACAGTGATTCGGAGCAGGAGGAAATGGAGCTACCTGTGCAGAAGGAGCAGAAGGAGGACTGGGGGAAGGAGCAGAAACAGCTGAAAAAAAAACATGAACAAATAATCCAAAAGGTTGTAAAAATGAGGAAATCACCGAAAATAGACGAACCGCTAACGAAAGCAGAGCAAACAGAGACAAACACACACGCAGCGACGCAGAAGGAGGGGCAGGAGAAGGAGCTGGAGCTGGAGCTGGAGGTGGAGTTGGAGCTGGAGCACACATTGGCAGCAAAGTGCAACATCAGCGCAGATAAATTGATAGCCCAAGTAGAGGCAGAAGCAGCGAAAGTCGCTGTAGCAAATGAAAAAGAAGACAAAGTCGAAGAGCAAACGGATCAAGACGCCAGCAACATAACCAATCAAAAGGAAGCAAACGCCGACGAAAAGGCCAACGAAGACAGCAGCCTCGTGGAGGAAAATGTAAACTCATTTAAGGAAAAGGAAAACGAAGAATGCAGCGTGCTGCCAGTGGAAATAGTACCCGAGGCGGACCTGGGAGCAGAGGTAGAGGTGGAATCGGAACTGGGACAAGAGATGCACAAGGCGAAAGAAGCCATCAAGGAGGAGGATCATCTGCTTGATCTGGTCGATGAGACGCTCCTGGATGAGCTGGTGCTGGAGGAGTCGGATAAGGAGGAGCAGGAGCAATCTCATGATAAACATGATATCGATGCGATTATGGATCTGGGTGCCACACTGGAAGTTGAAGTTGAGAGCAAGTCAGCAGCAGCAGCAGTAACAACGATGCTGTCGAATGAGGATGAGGAGGATATACTGGAGATACAGGCGTCACTAGAGGATGTGCGTCAGCTGCATACGCCCACATCAAGTCCGGGCAGAAGCGGCCTGACGCTAACCCATCCACGTGCAACGGTGCGCATCGATTCTGGCGACTCTGAGGCCAGTTTCAAATCGTTGAGCGCCGCGACCGATACCTCAATTAATCAGGAACTCGTTGTGACACCGCCACGCACATCGGCAGCCGCACCATCGCCCACCTTGCCCGATGAGCTCATATCCACGCACAATTGCAACATCAACAGCATCGATACAACGTCCCGTGGTGTCGCATCGCCAATACCAGAATCATACTTCAACATCGAGCCCGAGCGCACGTCCGAGGATGATGATCTTGGTCGCCTTGTGGGTGAGTTTTGGCGTTAGCTATCACTCCCTGAAGTGCCATGGTCTTAATCGATCTTGTCTAATTTCTTGTCTTACCGCCATAGAGCCCGACTTCAGTTTGAGCTCCAGCCGGCATGCCATCTCCAGGGGTACACTGGATGACATCATGACTGCATTAGACTCTTAAGAAGCTCAACAAATCATTAAACCATTACAAAATGGAATAACAAACACAAACACACACACACACACACACACACACACACACACACACACACGCGCGCGAATACTCTTAACAATTCAGTGAAGAATTGGCGACACAGGTCCTGCCACAAGTTTCTTTTTGTTTTTTTTTTTATTTTGTCAATTTCTTTATTTGCTATTGTTAATTGTTGAATATGATTTGTTTTTTAACTTTTTCCCTTTGCCGCTTAGTTGTTAGGCAACAAAAATAAATTTATTTTGTCTTTTGTAGATTTTAATGAAAATTGAATGTAGAACGAAAAAAATCTTCTACCAAAATTCTTCCTTGTGCTGCAGAAGTCGTTTTGGTTGAAGAATGTTTTAATTTTGAGTAAGGGCCTGTGGAGCATCACTAACACACACACACAAACACATACGACTAGCTATAACTGAACCCCGAACCCAGTCGATTTGTTTTTTGCTTTTTTTTGTAATTGTAATTGTAAATTGTAGTTGTATAGTTGAATGGGGAAGAGTTAAAGGAAGAGAACCTCACACACCGAAGCAAATGAATAGCTGAAAGGCATTGGAAAAGTTGCGACTCCAGTCGGACGCTCCTACGTTAAGCAATGGACGGCAATGAGCAGCAGCAGCAGCAGCTGCAAGAAAATTATGTTATGTAAACATTACTATATACATATACGCAATGTTTAAGTTGCTTAAACATAATGTTAAATATATTAATTATTTCTACAACTAATAAGTTTACTTTAATACTAACCCAAGCCAACCCCGAACTCACGTAGCAGCTGCAGAAATGTCCATCACACATCCATATGTAATTAATTTATATATGTGCAAAAGTACGTGTTGAAAAGCAGACTAGTTTTAAGCTCCAATGTATTACTAAAGCAAATACTATGCTATGTGTGTAAATAAAAATAGAAAGGATAGAATTTTGTTCAGTTTTCAGTTCAGTTTTGTGGAGAGCACCAGTCATCCGACCCCAGCCAAACACTTTACAAATATTCAACAAAATCTTGGTTATTGCAAGTTCCATTTTATTTTATAACGATAATTCAATAAGTCCCTAGGAAGACAGAACATAATTAATATGGAATTGTAATCCAATGATATCTGACTCTTACGACTTTTCTGGATTCTGGACACTGGAAAGTGATGCGATCCCCTGTTCCCCACATTCTCTATGCGCAAAGATGTGTGGCGGATCCATAAAATATTTTCCTTAAGAGTTAAATAAGTCAAAAATCCATCTCTCGAACTCGTGTTATGGTTATTCGTACACTTACCAATACTCATTGGCGTTGAAATTCATGTTTCCACGTGTGTATTGGAGTGTCCAAAGAGTAGTTACGGCCCTCATTATGCGTTGAAAATAGATCAAATGTGTAGTAGAGTGTCCGAAGAGTAGTTACGGCCCTCATTATGCGTTGAAAATAGATCAAATGTGTAGTAGAGTGTCCGAAGAGTAGTTACGGCCCTCATTATGCGTTGAAAATAGATCAAATGTGTAGTAGAGTGTCCGAAGAGTAGTTACGGCCCTCATTATGCGTTGAAAATAGATTGAAAGGATGGATAGGTATATCTAAATGGAATGAAGGATAAATGGTTGAGCTTAGAGTTAAGGAATTTGCGGAATCCACCTACCTTTTATGCGGAAAAAGCTTCAACAATGTGTTTGTGATGCCATCCACATCACCCACATCCTCACATCATGGAAGTGGAGGATGTGGGGAGGTACCATCAAGGCTTGGTAAGAAAGAAAGGTAAAATGTGTGGAAGTGTGCGTCTAGTGTTGTGTAACCTGCAAGGGAATGGGAAATGTCAAACTAAATAAAAGCAAATCGAAGTTTTGTCACTCAATTCTCTTGAACTTACAGATAATTTTGAACGGTTGAACGGTTGAACGGTTGGTAGGCAGAAATCTTAATTATCGTCCTCGTCCTTGACCTTCCGTTGTGCACGCTTGGGAGTGGGCTTTTGCATGGGTTTGGGCTTTCCCTTTGTAGGTAGCCTTTGGCTACCACGGCCAACAGGCCAACAGGATCTCGGATCGGGAGAGCCCAGCCCACCCAACTCTTCATGTTTCTTCATGGCCAAAAATGAATTACATACAATCACTGACTAAGGAAATACAAATAATAATTTAATAATTTAGAGGAGACTAGTATTTATTTTGTAGTGTTATTCGGTGTACAACTTGTTTGTTACTGAGAAAAGTGAGGAAAGTGAACGACTGGGCTGACAGTAGACAATATCCCAGGCAACTATGTTCCAAATATTTGTGTATTCTATTCAGAAATGAGTGCTTACAGTGGGGAGCAAAAGTGAGTGCGAGTGATGGATTGTTGGAGCACTTATTTAACTCTTAAGGAAAATATCTGACGGAACTGCCCCACCCGCGCATAGAGAATGTGGGGAACAGGGGATCGCATCAGTTTTCCGCTGACACTCGTAATAGTTACCGGAAACCAGAAAAGTTTTCAGTCAAGGTTTTCTGTTTCCAAATGCAATTTTACTATAAATCAATCATTTAAGTGTGAGACTTTTATGTCAAAAGATAAGACAAAGATCCACCAGTCCTTCAGGGTCAATTGGTGGCAGATAATTTAGTTTTTACTTGCTGCCGAATGGAGTCCTCCTCCTAATCGGAGGTCCAGACGTGGGCTACGGTCTCGTACTGCTTCAAGCGTTCGTTGTACTGGCCAAAGAAGAAGGCCTCGGTTTGGTAATGCTTGAAGAGATGATAGAAACCCTCATGGACGTACTTGTTGTTCCACACCCAAATGCAATGATTCGGGAAGTACGTGACAATGCGGTGTCTGCCGCGCACATCCAAATCGCAGAACATGTGCGTTGTGTGCAGGTCGTAGGGTGCATCCAGCTCAATGGCGACTCTCTTCTTGCGAATTAAGTGCTTCGCGGCAGCAGTTGTTCTCGATGCCGGAACTTGGGTCCCTTTGCTTGATTCCAGCTTGGTGGAGTTCACTAGGGCACCCAGGACGGTGGGGCTGTGCGTTGGCTCATCTCGTTCACTGGTGGCTGAATCGCGATCGGTGGAATTCGGTGGCAAACTTCTGGCATATCCACTCGTCGTCAGCTGTGACTGTCAATATATGAAAAATGAGTCGTAAAGGGTCGTAAAGAGGGTTACTTACCACGGCTAGTAGAGCTGCCAACAGACAATTTATTGGAAACTTCATTGTGTGGCAAACAAGGAATCTAAAGAACTGGTAGAAAACTACCAAATGTATGTACGTATTCCTGCAAAAGCACGGACAATTTGATTCGTTGCAAATAACGGAGAACGATCTCAGTAGAATCGAAGCTACTAAAAATCTTAATAATGATTCAAAGACAACTAAAGCAAATGCATAGAGAAACTTAACTTTAAATTTGAGTAAAAACAAACTCCGTATTTATTGTGTCTTGAACCACGGTGCGGCTTTCTCGTTTCTTTGCTGTGCTGTGCATTTGTGGGCTGGAAGCTTTTGCCTCACGCAGCCTGGCGTTGGCTAGACAGAGAAAGGTACATACATATGCCTGTAAGCTTACATCTACCTGCAGGTAGATCACTGCAGCGACCCAAAAGAAGCACAGCGAAGGGTCTGCTTGCATGTGTGAGTGAAGCGCTGAAAAGAGAATAGCGCAACTGGAAGAAAGCAAACGAGAGAAAGAGGAAGACACTAAAGAGGTTTGTCAGATATGTATGTACATACATATGTATGCATTGCAATTGTACATATGTATGCGTACAGCTGTACAGAAGTGAGACAACGTCGGAGCAGATCGGCATTGATACAAAATCCCAGCGTAAGCGTTTTACTAATTTGTACTTGATTTATTGAAGCTCATCTAAGTTCCAGCCGTGTCTGGTGTTCGTATACCTGGCCAAAATGGAACCCCTCCATCTGATAGAGCTTGAAGAGACGATAGAAACCCTCATGGACATACTTGTTGTTCCACATCCAAATGCAGTGATTTGGCATAAACCAGATAATCATGTGTCTGCCACGATCATCAAAGTCGCAGTAAAAATGCGATGTAAAAAAGTCGTAGGGCACACCGACCGCCAGTTCTCGCTTCTGGCGAAAGATGCGCGGCGTAACGGTTGTTGCTGCTGCTGCTGTCGGACCTTGTGAACTATTGCTGGACGCCCGTGCCGTAGAGTTGACCAGCGTACCCATGGTGGTGGTGGTTGTGTTTTGGGATGGCTCAACTCGTGCACTCGATGCTGATTGTAGCTCGGTGGAGCTCGCCAGCTTACCAATGCTGCTGGCGCTCTGTTCTTGTAGTCTCTTGGGGTTCCCTACAGTGGCGTTGCTTCTTTGGTTATCCTCTTTGCGTGGCAATCTTCTGGCATATCCGCTTGGCAGCTGTGACTGTTAATGTACCAAAAATGAATCGAAACGATATGGGAATGCTTGCCCAGTGAACACTTACTACGGCGAGGAGCGCTGCTAACAGGCAATTTAGTTGCAACTTCATTGTGTGGCAAAGGCAAGGTAAATGATTAATACAAGAATTATGACAAAAGCGAATTCCTGCTGTGCACTTAAAATTTGATGCGGTCTTATCAACTAACTGACAATAATCTCAAATTAAATGTTTATTTTTACATAAATCTTTCGCTTGCTCACGCTTGCGCCCGCTGGCTGCTGAGGAACTACTTATGCACACATGCACCAAAGCTGGCTGCTATGTAACCATCAAAGCTGTCTGCTTTTGAATCTCTTATTGAATGCAAGAAAGTCCTTAAATGATCGTTTATAATTACACCAAAGATTTATTGTCAAAATCATTACACAAAAAGTCGTTATGCATAATTATTAAATACACAAACCAAAACAAAAATATATTTCAAATGGAGATGATACTCATAATGGTTGCTTGCTTGTTCTCTCCTTAAATGGGACACAAAAAAAATAAATCATTATTCTAAACTGGTTCAATAAATCGAGTGTTGAAGCAATTGTATTATTTAATTTTATTATTATTTGTATTACTGTATAAACCGGTGACTATCACTTGCGCAAAAGTGGAGATATATTTTTTGTATGAATAAGTTTCATTTTTTGTTTATTTTTTTTAGGTTTTTTCTTGGTTTTTTTTTGGGGTTTTTTGTTGTGATGCTCATCTGGCCTGTAGGCGCACACGAAAACCCTCCTCACGCTTCAATATAATGTCCGCCTGGAGCTTAAAGTCAGACTCACTGAGGTCCGAGTAGACGCGATAATTCCGCAAAATAGTCGAGAGTAAAATTTTCAGCTTGAGCATGGCATACTTGCGCCCTAAAAATGGTACGAAATGGGTTAACAAAATGATTGGGAGTACCTGATAATAACGTATGCATTAACTAACGATTTAGTTGCAGTTTTGAATCATTTGTGCTACTATAAATGGAACTACTTACCCACACAACTGCGTGGTCCCGCTGAGAATGGCACAAAGGCATAATAATGCCGATTGGCCTGACGCTCGGGCAGAAAATTATCCGGATCGAAGACATTGGGATTCGTGTAGACCTTGGGATTGCGATGCAACAGCACAGTGGCCACCGTCACTGTGGCGCCACGCGGTATAACATAATCGCCCGAGTTCAGCTTCAAATCCTCCTGCAGCTCGCGTGCAATGAGCGGCACGGGCGGGTACATGCGCAGCGTTTCCATGAGGCAACGTTCCAGATATTTCATTTCGAGCGTGTCCTGGAACGTGGCTGGTCGCTGCGAGTCACCGAAAATGCCATCCAGCTCGGCAATCACACGATCCTGGATCTCCTGGTGTATGCCCATCAGCGAGAGGAAGAAGGATGAACCGGCGGCGGTGGTGTCATGACCCTCGAACATAATCGTATCCACCTGCTCCTTGATCTCCGTGTCCGTGATGAGGGCACCGTTTTGGGCGCTCTCCAGCATTAGATCGAGAAATGCCAAACGCTTCTTCTCCCCAATATCATTGTCCTCCACATCCAGATCGTCCTTGAGGCCCGCTGACTGGCCATACGAGAGCCCAGCCAGCCCAGGTGTGCCCTCACAAGCAGTCGCCGTCGCCGTCGTCGTCCCAGCACCAATCTCCGCCTGCTCCTGTCCACGCTCTCTCTCCAGAGCGGCCGCTTTGAGCTCACACTGGGCCAGGGATCCACGAGTGCCCTGCTCGAAGGCCGCCTTCTTGCTGCGAATGACCTTGGTGGTGAGGCCATGGATAATGCCCAGCAGACGCCCCTGTTCCTTATAGTACCGCGTCAGTGTAAACACAAACTCATTCCGCAGAAAGATGCTCCGATGTCGGGCATGGAGTATGTCGCACATTCGCATCACAGCCATTGCATACTCAAAGCCGGACTTGTCCTGCGTTTTCTTTGACACGCCCATGGCTGTCTCTGGAATAAGCCAAAACAAAATTAGAATTAAAATTCCCGCTGCGAAGTGGAATGCACTCGCCTGACCCAAGCGCCAATTGAACCTAACAATCAGACAACAGAGGCCTGAGACCCCCAACTCGTAAATAGAATGCATAAATGGATGATAGATCTGTGGGCACTCTCCATTGTGTTGTACGGAACTTGCAACCTCGATAGGTTCCTGCAAATATTCTTCAATTTTTACTTGCTTTGAGGCTTGCTGATTATGCAATGCAACTTTTGTTTGTTTTCGCTTTTCCTAACCATTTTTCTAGCATAAATTGCAGCAAATTTTCCCCAGTTTTTCAGTCTTAATTGCTAATTGTCCGTTTACGTCAGACAGCAGGAATATCAACCTCAGCCTCAGCCTCAGCCTCAGCTTCAGCCTCAATGGGCAGACAACGGACCGCAGCACCGGGCAGCAGTTGCATTCAAATTTTCCTGATTAAGCCGCTTAATGGCAATGCGACGTGCATTTAATTGCTCGGCCCAGCGCCGAGCTGGGGGGTTTTGGCTGCAATTCAAGTGCTGCGACAAAGGTACTCGTACTTAAGTGCTGCCGCTGTGCCTGTATTATGCAATGGCCTAGAAATCAATCCGAAATCGGTTGCAATAAAGCGACAATGTCATTAACATTTGGCCGTGTACAAAAATCTGCCATACAGTTGCGGGCAGCAGGCCAATTGTCCCACTCTGGCGCTGGCAGTTTCACCCACAACGAAACGTGTTTGGAGTTAAGTCTATTGCCGCCTGGCAAAATAAATATTTTTAAGTGATTTTCTAATGATAAATATGTGGCTTGGAGTTGAGTTTCCAAGTCCTTTGTCAGCTGTTGACTACCATCTGCTTCAGCTAAAATGTGTACCCATTAAAGTCCCAGCTAAGCATTTCATTGCTGAGGCTGCCCTAGAGTACCTAATGAAGCTTACGCATGGGGAAAGCAAAAGATCCATGCCAGCCAGGGCTCTCATTTGTCATTTGGTACACTTTCCAGTGTTGCAAAATGGCAGCATTTGATTTAGATTAGGTACACCTGCATGGACGAATTGTGTATATATGCATGTATGTACCTATTTCTCTTGTGTCCATTGTGCGAAATGACAAAAGCATTTAAATGGACAACAAACAGAAATTTTGTGATTTATGCAAGCTGTGGGAGTATGTAGGGAAATGGGTCTGCGCTCAATTGTGCCATGTCTGTATGTAGTACAGTTACTATACATATCTAACAAATGATGCATAAATGATATATAAAATAATGTGTGTACACGCATATGGCATGAGTCTGTGAATTAAATGTGTTTGAAGCGGATTTACGTGTGTGTGTGTGTGTTGAGTGTTGAGTGTGTTCTGGTGCGTGTGAGTTGACTGTACTTTTTGTGTAATCAGATACATGAGTGTTGGTAGCGATCAGCTTACCCAATAGAATCTCCACAGTCGCCTCGCTCATGTAATCATGACAATCAAATGTGCGGCCATCCTCCGCACGCAGCTTCCGCACCACATTGCGCGAGTTCTCGTTGAACAGCTCGATGAAGCTCTTCAAGACATTCAAATGGAATGTGGGTGCGATCAGTTTACGATGCGAACGCCATTTTTGACCTATCAAAGAGAGAGAGAGAGAGAGAGCAGGTTGGGGAAAAGAGATGAATGCAATTTGCTGAGGCTTGCCTCTCACCTGTGCTTATCAGCAGCCCATCGCCCAGCCAGGGCTTGAAGAACTTGTACTCGGATGCCTTGTCAATGTAGACATGGCTGCTGAGCAGCAGCTCCACATCACGTGGATCGTAGATGAAGACCACCAGCTTGGGACCGATCCACATTTTGGCAATGTGCTCAAAGGGTGCGCTCTTCCGGATAACTGTTTTGAAAACAGCTGCAAAAGCAAGCAAGCAAAATGGGGTTGGAGTCTCATTTCGATTCGATCAACACCTACATGA